ATGAAAAAGCTAACTTTATTTTAATGTCGATAAAATTGACTTTATTGACTTATTTATTGATTTATGACTATATTACAATCTGTGTTTCTTTTAAGCAAGAGTGAATAGCCTTATTTACGCTAAGATAGTGCGGTTTACTATCTAGAACTTCATCACCACTTACCACTAGGGATGGCGGTCAAGCAATGGCTTATAAGATAAGTAAAAAAAATTGAATGACTTATTTCCATATACTCAAACGCTACAAAATTTTAAGAGGTCGTTTAGTCGCGTGATGTCACTCTCACTTTGATTTAATGTGACAGAGACAGCACGAGACTTAACGACGTCTTAAAATTGCTTAATTTTCGTTTGAGTATTTCGGGAAAAATCCAGTAAATGCTGTGCGATACTGTTGAAAGCTCTGATAACATTAAAGCTATTTTAAATATGACCTATGTTAATATTTGATTTAAATCATCATCATTAACAGCATCACAACATACTGCTGGACATACTTTGTAACTTAAATATGATTGATGTACACATTTTGTAGGCAATATAGCGAATGCTGTGTAATTCGCATATGGATAAATACCGAACCATGTATTAGCCATGTATACCTGTAATGCCGGTGTAAGAATATCCACTACCTCATATCATCCCTTGGGTGTCGTAAAAGGCGACAGAAAGAAACAAATCAGGAGATGCGCAGCGCGTCTTCCTAAAAACGACTAAAAGTAACAAAAAAAAACTGCGGTTACTAACCCGCTTCCCAAACTTAGCAAACTATGACAAATATCCTCCTATGAGGCAATGTATGGGGGAGGCCTGTGTTCGACAGTGGACTTTAATAGGCTGTAACAGTAACTGTACATCAATGGCTCATGGTTCGGCCGTGGTAACGCAGCGATCTCCGCTGACACAAATAAAACTATTAATCGCAATAAGTGCCGATTTACCACTTGCTCGGCGGTGAAGGAAAACATAGTGAAGTAACCTGCATATCTGAGGAATACTTGAAGTTAGCTAATATATACTGTTACAGCGTGGTAGACTAATTGCTCCGAATACCCTCATAAACGACGATGCTCATGCATTTATGCTGTGGGATGTATATAGACTACAACTCACTCTTATAAATACCAAATAGTTATAACGTCATTTACTAGACCTTTTTATGGTATAATAGACCATATATGGTGACAAACGAGCATACAGTCCACCTGATGGTAAGTGGATGCTGTGGCTCTTGAACACTTACATCCATCCACGATTAAGAATCAAAATCCAGATGCGTAGTCATACCTGAGGACTAAGATAGATCGCCACGTTATCCATCTTGAGTAGAATGTCATCGTTACCAGTTAAAAGAGCTTCCGGTTCTCTACACTTACCATACAAAAAATACATCAGCATGGAGCTGCTATTTTTTTTTTGCTTGTATTCTATGAGAGCGTAGTCCTACAACGGTCGAGGCGAGTATTAGACTGGCCACATACATTCGTAATTCCGTTTCTGGTTTCCGTTTCGGAATTCAGATTAGCACGTACGACCGAAGCGAGTAGATGTGTTTATGTATGTTTTTACATGTAATCTTATATGTGTATCTTTTTCGTAACCTTTCATCTTATTTTGTTTAATAATTCATCGAAAGAGCTAGACATCCATACTTTAAAAAAATCTTTGGATAATTGCAATCTTAAGATGTTAAGGGGATGCACCCAGTAACAATGATCCATCAACAATAGGATCGCAATAAGAGAATCGTCGTCATTATTCGCCCGCAGAATATCTGGACTCAATGGCTAGCGTCTCTCAACTGAGCCTTGTTATTCCGAAGGGTGTGTGAAACGTATGTGTGTGATGTATTTACGGAATCCCGAATTGGAATTTCGAATGAATATGGACGGATTAAATTACAAAATCTTTCGCTCTTTAACGCCGCCTGTTAAAAATGTCAGACAACTCTTTCCAAAATATCAACCCTTATCTTTACAATCAAATCTGTGCAATGAATGAGTGACAGTATATTCAAAAACATAGAAGACTCTAAAATATTGTAACAGGAATTACATTCCTAATGTAATAGGCTGTGTGTTCACTAACTTATGAGCTTGTCGCTTTGCGAATACAGCGTGCACGTTACCTTTTTAAATAATTTATATTTGCGATTGATTTACATTTAGTGTAACTTCATTTCATTTTAATTCATTTCACTTAGCGATAATTCATTTGTATAGAATTTTTTTCTATTGTTTATGGTTTAGGTTTTATACTTCAAAAAATGGGTTTATATGTATAATATTATATTGAGTATGCGAATATCGATTTTTGCAAAGTAATCGATTATATTTTTTTTATGATGTTAATATTTTATTTTTTTGGGATAAAATATTTGCTCATAAATCAATACAGGGTAATTAATGATTTCTTACATTTATGAGAATAATACAAATTAAATTAAATTAACTCTACGGATTTTATGGCGTTTAATTTTAACTTCTTAGTTCCCAACTTTTCGACTGCAAACCACTAAAAGACTTCAAGATGCTGTAAGTTCGTTCTGTGTAGGTTGGACCAAAGATTTATATTGAAAAGCTGAAGGCAGGCGGGCTAACTAAAAGGTCGGGGTAAAAGTGTCTTCGTATTTTATGTACAAATTCAAGACATTATAGACAAGATATCTTGTAGGTAGTGACATAATCCCATTGCTGTAGAAATCTAGGGATTTCTGATCAAAAAAAAAAATGCGACAAATAGTTTTGACAGTCCTCTCTTGATGTTAACCTAACACTTCCCAAAGAATTCTGAAGAGACCGAAACAGGTGAAAATCTGAGGTTGCAAGGTCAGAACTATATTATGGTAGATGCATTAACACTTCCCAACCAAACTCCCAATTTTTGCTGCGTGGCCAAAGATGTGGTGTGGTCTGACCTTATCATGAGAAAAGACCACTCTTTTCCGTTGATCAATTCCCGCCGTTATGTCTCAATTTCTTGCTTGAGTCTCCTTAGATATTGGCAGTAGAGATCTTAATCGATGGTTTTGCCCGGCGGAAAAAGCTCATAGTAAACGGTGCCCTTCCAATCCCACCATACACGCAGCTTCACATTGCGTGTTAATCCGGGTTTCGCTACAGTCTGTTGAGCTTGAATACCCTTTGACCGTGATATTTTTCACACGTTCTTGTCATAGATGATCCACTTTTCATCACCAGAGATCACTCTTTTCAAAAATGGTTTGTTTTCATTGCTTTTCAATAGAGAATCGCAAATGAGTACACGATTCTTTAGGTTTCTTACAGTGAGCTCGTGTGGTACCCAAATATCGAGCTATTTTGTATAGCCAGACTATTTCAAATGGGTCAAAACTGTTTTGTGGTCAATTTCTCGGCTATGTCGTAACTACTAATATGCCGATCTTGGTCCACATTTTCAAAAATGGTATTGTCTTTATCCGTATGAAGGCGACCAGAGCGAGCTGCATCTTTGACATCAAAATTCCCGAACTGAAAACGCTTGAACTAATTTTTTGCTACTTTTACTTACACTGCATTAGGTCAAAGTAACACTGCAGTAGGTAAAAGTTCAGAATGTATCGAATTTCTTCGTTAGATTCACTCATTTTGGCGGACAGAAAACCAATTGAAAAATGGCGGGAAAATGTTTTTTACATTTTATTTTTCTTTTCTTAATGTTCTATATGTATTGATATTAAAACCTGCCAGATACAAACAGTACAAACAAAGAGATTTTTCTTTAATTATATACAAACAAAATACGAAGAAACGTTTTCCCCGATCTATTATGACATCGGGACGTCAAACACCTCAATCTCTCCCGTGACCGGTTGCTTTATACACCACGTGCTTTACAGCACCGGAATTGTCGGGAATTAAATACGATAAAATCGGTACATTTAGTCTCATTAAGGTGCTGAGCAAACGTAGTCACTTTTTGTTACCAACACGACACACAATCACAGGAAACCGTAGTTGCTGTGTCCGGTAGTGGCAATCAGACACAGTCGCCGGTTGCTACTCCTGGTAGCTGGTAACAATTCGTTGCTTGTTTGCCGTCAGTTTCACGATGGATGTCAATGAAGAAACATTACTTTTGCTTGTTGTGTTGATTATACGTCGACGCAAACGCCGTCGCTGCCAAAAATTAACCACGTCAACTGTCTGTGTCGTGCTTGCGTGTGTGTCTTCAACTGACAACTTTTAGTTTACAGTTACCTACACCCAACACTTCTAGTTTGGCAAGTATGTGTCAAGTGGTAGCAACTGTACACAAAAAGTGTCCAGTTGCTTCGCAAGGAATGGCTGATTTCATATTTATTATATGACCATAAAATATTCACTGGAAGCTTGTATACTACACAAGACACAGAAGTGTCTTCGCTTGCGCAGCGCCTTAAACAATATGGTGTGCCGTCGTAAATTTTAATTTGGGACCCATTTAATTAAGGTCGGACCGAAAATTTATATTGATAAGCTGAAGGTAGTCGGGCTCACTAAAAGTCAGGGAAAAAAGTTTCTTCGTATTTTATGTACAAATTCTAGACATTTTTTTTTTTTCAACGTTTACTTACATTTAATTATAATACAACGAACATACCTCGGCGGATACATTATTCGAAATTCTAAAAGATTGATAAAATTTTACATTAATTTATTCGACACTTTTCCATGTTCTGGTATTAATAAATATAAAAAATACAACACTAAGTATAAGTTCTCACGCACAAATCTATCTGTATGTATTTACGTTACACGTACAACTAACATACCTTATGAGCTACTATTTTCGCGTGTAAGTTGGTAAATATTAAAATTGACAACGCGTTGCATTTGCTGCGTAATTTTTATTTATGAAACGCATTGTTCAGTGGTTTAATATATCAATAGCAAGGGTATGTAACAAAATCAGTGTTAATACCTACATATTTGAATGTGTTCATTATCCAAAAACGCAATTACGCAACGTAGTGGTAGTGAGTACGTGTGACATTGCAGTTTCGAGTGGACAAAGTGGACGAGTCGTGGGTTGGCAGCGTGGCAATCGGTGCCGTTGCCACGTTGCCGGACGAGGTACCAGACCGTGGCACCCAGCTGGAGCCACCTGCCTGGATTCTGGCTAGCGACGTCTGCTACGATGACGGCGATTACGTGAGTACACTGCTCTGTAGTTCTTTCTTCTTCTTTATCCTCAGGTTATAAAAGGTCACAGCTGGACTTTGCTTGTTGTCAGCGAAAATTTTTCCCAATGGGGGCTAATATTCACAAGTCCACTGCAGAACAAAGCCCCCCCCCCCCCCCAAGGAATGCCAGAAAGCACGGTCACCTGCATCCATTGACTTCCCGCATGTCTCCAAGTCATCACTCTATCTAGTGGGGCGCCTTGCAATTCACCTACCTACCTAAGCTTAATATTCTTACGCTCACTAGATGTCGTTAGGCAGGACTAAGGTGTTGAAGTTGTTCATGTGCGGTGGTAGTCACTAACCATCAGGTGAGCCGCATGCTCGTTTGCCCCATCTTATATAAAAAAGTTCAACTCAGATGGTCACACAATGTAATCATCATTGAAAAGATAAAAACAATATGTATAAACACATAACAATGCCTCAGTGTTGTGTTCTTTAATTTTTTTAAACATTCTTAACTTTTTTTATATTCTTCTACTTTTAGGAATATACGTAATTTGGTTTATCCATTTCTAATCTAAGTTAGTAGTTTAGTTGTAACACGAATGTGTCGGCTCGACCGTGGATCACACTCTCACAGAAGACCAGCGTAAAATAGCAGCTTAACCCTGCTGTATTTCGTATGGAGAGTGTAGAGATCCGGAGATCCTTTTAACTGAAAACGAGGCATTCCATCTTAGTCCACACGGGTGACAACGCATCTGGCATTTTGATTCGTAATCGAGGATAGATGTAGATGTCTATGTGCCGCAGTAACCGTTTATCATCAGGTGGACTGTGTGCTCGTTTGTCACCCTATCCTATAAAAAATCTGTCTTATATTTCACCTGTTTACTAAGTGGCACCGCCCTGGTGGCAAATAAATTCGTGCGTGTCCTTATTGACACGCTCGTCAAGTAAGCGTAAGCGTCTTTGATGCTGTTGCCCGTCGCCGATCTGTAAGCTATTTAACGTATAGTGATTTTTTTGTCCTTAATTTGCACCTACCAACATCTTTAACATCAACATCAAGATTGATAGAGTGTTACATACATTAAGTCTGCGCTTTAAAACCAATAGTTGAAAGTGTGTTTATTCATTTAGGCACCAATAAGATATAAGCTTTACAAATTGTAATAAAAACACTTAATCTTAGAACGAAACATGCAAATAAGCTTCATCTTAATGCAAGCATGGCTAGGTAAAAATGATAAGAAGTAGACAACTATAAAATACAAAGAAGCTTAAAAAAAAGGAAAATAGTGTGTAAAGGGAACTCAACTAGTCTAACTAATATTGCAATGCGGGATGAAATAAATAAATAAGCGAGACGACATTTTGGATTAAGGATGACATACGAGCACACAGTCCACCGGATGGTAATTAATATAGATAAACATTTACGTCTAACCTTTGTGAACGTGGTAGAGTCATGCTGCAGCTATAGTATGGTGGTAGCACGAATAGTTCGACTCGACCGTGGAAGGACCACGCTCTCACAGAATACCTGCATGATTGTAAGCAACTGGAGAACCTTTTTACTCAAAATGAGATATTCCATCTTAGTTCTCAGGGGTGACAAGGCATCTGCATTTTGATTATTCATCGAGGGTAAATGTAGATGTCTATAGGCCACAGCATCCACTTACCATCAGGTGGACTGTGTGCTCGTTTGTAATTTTGATTTTTAATCAAAAATTATTATATAGCATGGCCACGTATAGTGACTGTCCCTTCTTAAAACACTGGGTTAACAATAAAATAAATATATAATAATACCAGCGTAAAATAGCAGTAATGCTGCTGTGTTTCGTATGATGAGTGTAGAAAACCGGAGACCCATTTTACTGGAAAAGAGGCATTCCATCTTAGTCCTCACGGGTGACAACGCATCTGCATTTTGATTCGCAAACGAAGATAGATGTAGATGTCTATGGGCCACAGCAACCACTTACCATCAAGTGGACTGCGTGCTAGTTTGTCAACCCTTATTCTATAAAAAAAATATAATGTATATGTAAAATTCTAAGTAAAATTTAAACTATGTTAGTAACAAAGTGTGTGGCTTAAGCCAATGAATTTTAGTTGTCTGATGGATTAAATAAATTAAAAATAGTTAAAATCACGAACACAATAGATTATACCGCTCAAGTACAACTGGTATTGCAAGCTTGCTTCGGACACAAATTTACTTTATTTTTTCCACCAGATACGCACCACCACATCGTGGGCACTGGACGAAGTGTCAGAGCAATCCGTGCTAGCGATCGAATTCCGTGCGAACAGCGAGCTTGCTGTGGAACTTGACGGGCGGTCACTAGGTGTAGCTGGCACAGTGCCACTCGCACTTGCGCACGTGTTTCCAGTCATCGATTTATACGGGAAGGTCTACCAAGTAAGTGCCAATAGTTCAACTCCATTACTCCCCGAAATAATTTAAATAAATGCTTTGTTCGTTACCACAACAGAATTGGAACATAATCATAATTTAATATTTAACTTGTGGTAAGACTCCTTCCCTGCCTAGGAATACATATGGTTAGGTACTACCCACGAAGCAAATACAAAGAGGAGATGACATAAGCAACTGTGCACTGTGATTCTAGCTAGGTCCTGACGTCATCACAGTAGGCGTGGCTTTACTTAGTATCACAGAACACTATTACTCCTACGGAGAAGAATGCCAACTTCATATAAAATAAAATGAATATATCCACTAGTTCCACCTATAGTCGGCCCACCTGCAATATTTTCATGGCGGGAAAATTTGAACGTTCCTTTTTTTTTTTTGAGGGGATATTTGAGGTATTTTTTTGGGTTGCCTATCCCAGCGCTGAGTAAAAGAACAATAAATTACAGTTTTCTATTTATTTATTCAAAATACAAATTAAAATTAAAAAAATATACATAACTAAAAAAAAGTACTTTACAAAACTGGTGTGTTAGGTATAAATTATAGAAATGACAAGTCCCTTCCACAACATGTTCTACCTACTAATTACCTATATGAGAAGAAGATATGAGACCATTTACCACCTTTTCTCATAACTTTTCTTTTTATAAGTCTGGGCCAAAGGGTGTTATCAGGACCGTAATAATAAGCCTACAATGTCCGTCTTGTAGACTTAGTATTACAGTCCTGATGGAATGTGACTACCATACATACGGGATCGCCGACGCGACCAGTATTTGTATGCTGGCTACCTAATAGCAGGTGGTTTTAAGGTACAAAAATACATTTCTCAACAACAGACGGAATTTCTCTCGGAAGACAAAATTTCTCCAGCAACCTAGTTCCATCTATAGTCATTAGAGAAGTTTAAACAAGAAAATAAAATTCAATATTTATCACAATATTTCAATTACCTATGTAAAACAATGATAAAAATAATATTATACATAATTTACAATCATGAATGAATTGATATTATATATATATTTTCTCAAATAACTTAATTAATAAATAAGCTCTTGCATTGCACCTTGCAAAGTGTAAAAACTCATAAACTAATTTTTACAATATATGCTTGTCTATTTATTTCCCTGAATTAACACCCAAAATGTCTCTTTATATAATTTCTTATAATTTATTTTAGTTTATTAATTTAGGTTACTACATTTTTATGTAAAATTCTGCAACGAGCTTTGTCAAACAATTTATATAAAATGCAGAACTACTCTTCAAATTACATGTTCCAATCTCATTACCAGATGAAATATTTGTTCTGCACTGAATGTCATCTTCCATAAATAAATTTCAAAAACGCTTTAACAAATGTGGTGTATCAAAAAGTGTCACTATTTCTTTGTTGTGGAATGTAAAATAGGGTTGTTGCATATTTGCACCCAAAATAGACAGAACTCGCCAATTTACTCCATCCATGTCACAGACTGTTGTAGATATATTTAACCCAGCCTGAAAGCACTGATTTAATACCTGAAATTAAAAATCAAATATAGTTTACTGCTGTTGAGATTGTTTAGTAAACATTTTTAGATATTTAAAGAAAATAAAACATCATATAAAGTACTATAAACTACCTCTTTCATTAGTACAGCAAGTCTATTTGCAGTTGAAAATGCACTGGAGAAATAGTGGGTACCATGGTACCATGATCCCGATACCCTTCAATAAAATCATCTTTTGGGTTGTACATTTCTTGGAAGCATTAGTGCAATCACCATCATTAAAATGTTTTTCACACAGCATTCTGTTCTCATTATGTAGCTTTTACTCTTTGGCAGGAAATAAATATTTCGCCCACAATGTACAGCTGAAACCAAAAAATATTATTATTAAATACGAATATTATCAAAGTAGTTCCAGTGGTTTACTAACCAATAATTTGTTTGAGAAATAACCTTTATAAGTGGGATAAAAAGTTAACTCTTTAAGGTTAGAACTTGAAGTGAATAAATACGTACCGCAAAATATTCTTTACTGCAGACTGCGGGTTTCGGAAAAATAAATAATTTAATGTTGTCTACGGCCGGTGAGCTGCCGCACTTAAAACACTTCTATTTTCTTTATCCGCCATTGCACAGCACGGTTTTTAGAGTCACTTTCTCGTATTTCACTGCGGATCACTATCTAATACTTTGACAACACAAAACGGACGAAATAAATCTTAATTCGACGTCCTAAGCTAGAAAAATCGTAGAAAAGGAGATACAATCCAAACAAAAACTACAAGCAACCTTGAACAACAATAATGCAACGGCGCCTTATTTGTTTTTAGTGCTACCAGAAACGAATAAAATTTTCTACTCATTAAAAATCAAAACAAAAAAAAGAACATTTTTTTTTCTTTTCTGTCAATGATATGTTAATATAATAACGCAAAAACATGTGGCAGAGAGTAATATTCATAAGAAAAATTTAAAATTTGGGAGTTTATAATTCATCTTTAGCAAAATATTACTAATTGTTACACAGGACATTTATCAGACAAATGGCAATAATGAAATTTAGCCCCCGTAGGCATTTCATTCCGCCCATACAAAGTTGACCGGGCCTGCTTAGTATACTGTCAGCGTTCGACCTTTGTGCTTATGTGTCGAAAATCGCAAATCGGTGTATTTTAGTAGTATTAAGAAGAAAAGGATGAAGTACTGTTTCATCGTGTAAAATATACTCAGATAGACGCTCTGATGCTATGGACGGCATCACATTTCATTTGTAAGTAATTTTAAACCTAATTTATTAAAAAGGTTCTAGAAAAATCTCTGCGTCGGCTTTCTAATGTAATTAAATTTATTCGACACTAGATGGCGACACTTTGTATCATGGGAACTAAAAATATAAAGTTACGTAGAGCTCAGATATTGGTAAAATAATCATACGAAGGTGTTGAAATTTGTTTTGCATTCAGTCTTAAAGAATTTTTAATCGCCAAAATATTATTTTTATAGTTTTTATAATCGTTTGGTGAACAGGCCGCCATCTATCGTCAAGGTAGCTAAACTACATTGCAACATATGCTATAGAAAATAGTAAAGTGGGCGGGGCTTAACATCCCGTCAGCCTGCAAATTGTCACGCGTTGTTACATAGTGGAATCTATTACAATACAACACCTCCTCTTTATATTTGCTCTGTGGTACCACCCTTAACTTCATTCATTTCTGTCGTCAAATGATGCGTGCACTGCTATATTCCGGACCGAAGGGTATCGAGAGCCAGTATAATTATTGAAGGTTGTGGCGTTCCATCTTAGTCGTTAGAGGTGACAATGCATATGTAGCTTTCTTTGTTTGATGTTAGCTGCAGGTGTCCATTGACTGAAGCAGCCCCTTACCATCAGGTGGATTGTAAGTTCGTTTGTCACTTCCGTTTTTATAAAAACTAGCGTAAATAGAATGATATGTTCAGGGGTACATAACATTTTTATTTCGAGTATATTTTAAACCGTATTCCAAAGCATTAAGAGGATATCCGGGATGCAGGAAATCTAAAGAATAGTAATATTATTAAAGATCTATTGATGTCACGACCTGTAAAAGAACCGAGCTGGTTAACAAACTAATAAATGTATTTACCAAATAATCATCCCATATTCTCTTGTTTCCTTCTCCAAAACTAGTCCGATTTTAATTTATTTTGTCAAGAATAAATGAAAAATTATGACTATGTCTAATCATTATTTTACTTTAATTTTTTATTTTAGTTAAATTTGTTTGTTGGTCCAAAGCAGTGGTAAAAAGCGGACAATTTTGTTATTTTAAAAGGTGCCCAATTTTTAAAATTGAAGCGATATGGCCGTGGTAAATATAGATTGTATTGTTAAAAAAATCTAGTGTCTTCATCCCGGGTGAAAACAGAGGAGTACGTTTGTATGGACTAAACACCGTCTCTTAATTGTTGCATAGTGTTGCATTTCATTTATTCATTCATTACAGCCCTTCACAAGTCCACTGCTGAACATAGGCCTCCCCCAAGGAATGCTACAAAGCACGGTCTCGAGCCACCTGCATAGTGTTTATATTATATAAATTAGTCCTTTTTTTCTTCTACTTCAAAGATTTCGTGTTTTTGATAATGACGATCCAAATGTTATCAGCTTCAGCCTCAATAGCTTTCCAATAACATGAATTACCTATCGGAAGACTCTAACGTTTACATTACAGACTATCAAAAGTCCACAGCTAAATAAAGTCCTCCCACGCATTTTGCCTCATAGCTAGGATATTTGCCATAGTTGCCTCGCTTGGCGGGTGGGTTGGCAGCCGTAATTTTTTATTGAGTTGTTCTTCGAAATATGTTGCTGCCCATCTGTTGATGAGTTTTCCTTTGTGACCTGTTACGATACCCACGGGATGATAAGGAGTACACGATTGAACGCGATCCAGTTCATTGAACCAATGAAATCTAAAGCCAGAACTTTTGTTGCCAGGTCTCGATCTTGTTGCATCCGCATGTCTTAGGATGCGGAGCTTCTTTAGACCTGCCGAGCATTGTGGAGAATCGAGATGAAACTCTCGCCGAATCTGACCTAACCGAGGACGATAACCCGCCTCTCGATCCCGATTCTCTTCCCGAGACGAAACCGAGGCGAAAAGTTCGCGCTCACAGCCACGACAACCTGATCGAAGACTTTAGACCGGTTCAATCTCAGCCCGGGCCTAGCAAGCCGAAACCAGTTACGATGCACCAAAGTCTGATCCTCCCCTCCATGTCTTCATGCCGTGTCCACAAAAGCCACTCCAGTCACAACTTTGGGGAAGCGGAAACACTCATGAATCCAAGACAGCGCATGCATAGATACATGGACGATCAGTTAATCGATGAGCAGTTCTGCGATACCAATATACAGCATAACGACCGCTACCCTGAGGCCAACGACGTTGACAACCTGGACATCGAAATAATGGATGCCCTTACTCTGGAGACTGGGAACTTACCTGATCTGACGGAAGAACAGTCCTCCTCCATAGACGAGTCAACACGCCGTGATGACATCTACTCAGAACCTCTCTCCGCTGAAAACCTTAACTATTTGAACAGGATACTTTGTCTAGACCAAGATGGAGTGGAGGGGCAGAGTCTTGAGTGGGAGTGGGAGGCTTGCGGGGAGACGTGCGAACATTTACACGTGGTGTTGAAGTATTGGAACTATCTGATGCAACCGTACCCGGAACTAAGGAGAGCGGTTTCTTGGGGTCAGGTGAAGTGCTACTGCAGTAACTGTCAGCCTGATGCGCAGCCACCTTTAGCCGGTGAGTATATCTTTATCACTGGTCTGACTAAAATATAACTTTTTTAATTATAAAGTAAAAATCCTGACGCGAATTTTGAAAATCAGTTTAGATATTTTATTAGATATCATTTGTGCTGCAGCGAAATTTTAATTTTTGTGTAATATAATATGTGCTTTTTTTGCGAGAGTGTGCTTCAGTGTGCCGAGTGTGTCCATCAATCAACTGTAACGACATTTTTTAGAAAGTTCACTAGTCTTCATCCGGTTAATTGGAATTTTACGTGCTGATTTAACGCGTGTTCAATGATGGAAAACAATATGGTGTATGTGTAAAAACTAAAACATGTCCACGGCTAGTGAAACCTGCCTATACATAGAGAGGAGCGCGGTGGACTATATATATATATATATATATATATATATATATATATATATATATATATATATATATATATATTATTCTTATAAGTGATAGGAGGCTTGTACTTTTATGTTTTAATTGTCCGATCTAGATATAATCCATTAATCTTTTTCTAGATGGTAGGACTCTTTGTTTGCTCAGGAGCTCGCCTCGGAAGATAGGTAGAAAAATCTAATTGGGGATTCATCTTTTTCTGCCAGTAAATATCGGTTGAAGTTAGATTGGATAGAGAGCAAATATAATAACAGGATTTGAGGCATTCCGTCCTAATCCTCAGAGGTAACGACGCAATTCATTAGATTAGAGTGGACTTCTTTGTTTGAAGTTAGGACAGCGGCTGTACATGGACTGCAGTAGCCACTTTATTTTAGGTGGACCGTAAGTTCGTTTTTCATTACAGCTTTATAAAAGAAGTTCGCTCATTAAAATCCGGCTTGGAGGACCAAATTTTGTATAATTTAGTTGTGATGCCATGCTTTAAAGAAGTATACTTGAAGTTAAATGTATATTTAGAATAGTTGTTGATTGTCAAGAGCCTGACCCGATTAATTTTTTTTTATAGGATAGAGTGACAAACGAGCACACAGTCCACCTGATGGTAAGTGGTTGCTGTGGCCCATAGACATCTACATCTATCCTCATTTGCGAATCAAAATGCAGATTCGTTGTCACCCGTGAGGACTAAGATGGAATGCCTCGTTTCCAGTAAAAATGGTCTCCGGTTCTCTACACTCACCATACGAAACACAGCAGCGTTAGGCTGCTATTTTACGCTGGTATTCTGCGAGAGCGTGGTCCTTCCCCGGTCGAGCCGACCCATTCGTGCTACAAATATACTACTAATATAGCTGTAGCATGGCTCTACCACGTAAAATGTAATAAATAAGTCTATTATCAGAATCAGTATTCAAACGTAGCGAAATAACTTTACTTCAGAAAACTCTAGCATAAAATCAATCTAATTTCATTTATATACATTTTTATTTGCAAAGCGTATATGGTTTTATTACCTCTAACTGAGACTCGCACCGGTAAACCGGGGTCTTTGACTATACTTTTACTTCACGGCCAATGCAGAAGTAAAAAAACCACATACAATTTGCAAATAAAAATTTATTTAAATACAATTTAATTTCTTTATTGTTGACTTTTCTCAAGTAAAGTTTTTTTTATGGAAGTGGGGGCAAATGAGCATACGGCTCGCCTGATGGTAAGTGACTACCGTCGCCCGTGAACAACTGCACCACCAGTGGAATTGCAGGTGCGTTGCCGGTCTTTTAGAAAGGAGTAGGCTCTTTTCTGGAAAGTCCCTAGGTCGTATCTTTCTGGAACAACCGTTGACTGTAAAAAGTTATTTCTATTAGTTTGAATATTGATTCTGATAACGCACTTAACGGAAACCATAAGGTTTTTGTTACACGTTGTATAAAAAGACAAGTTAGAAAGGCTTTGTTTCCTTGTTGGTCCACTGAACAGTTGTTATATTTCAATTGGCCTTCGTAGGAAGCATGTGAGCAAATATATACCCAAACGTACTTTATTATCTATACATATAAATAAAATTGAAGTGTCTGTTTGTAATGTCAAAATAACGTCTTTTTACTAAATGCATATGAAAGTATAAGTATATACGGCACATACAAAAATAAAAACTTTTGTCTGTCTGTTCCGCTTAAAATAATTAAAAATCATGAAATTCAATTGTAATAAATTCTACGCGAAAGATTTCGTGAAGAACAGCTAGTAATTAATATGTATGAATTTATATGCGCTGCGCCGTGAAATAATTATCGCTAGCGTTTTGACAGTGGAAATTGTTTTCTAAATACATTTGTGAAATGATTGACGTTACTTGTGTCGGTGCGACACGCATATTTATTGGCATGCCGTGTTGCCCATCACTTTAATCACCATGCAGTGGTTTCATTAACTTTAATGATTTCTTATATTTACACGAATACTTCTTTTATATAAAATAAAGGAACAAGCGAGCACACAGCCCCCCTGATAGTAAAAGGATGCCGTACATCTACCATTAATAATCAAAATGTAGATGTGTTATCACCCCTGTGTACTAAAATGGAATACCTCGTATTCAGTAAAAAGACGGTACCCTCCGGACTCTACACTCACCATACGAAACACAGCATTGAGCTGCCATTTTACGCTGTTATTCTGTGAGGGCGTGGTTCTTCCCGGTCAAGCCAACCCATTCGTGATACAACTATAATAGCTGCAGCATGGCTCTTCCGCGTAGCACTTGACAGTGAATAAAAATAATTATACTAATTTCTTAAACGCGATAAAATCCGTATATTTTGTTTTCCTTTTCATTAGCCCATGAAAGTTCACTGTTTAACATAGATTGATAGATTCTTCCATTGTAGGGATTTCCTCTAATGGGCTCCCTTGGTGGAATTGCAGTGACAGTCGTAATCGTCTTCGACACTGTTGCCCGTGGTCAGTCTAGACATTTTACGTATCGCAACGAGATGTCTGTACTGCCATCTGTCGGAAGCTATAAAACCTCTTGCATATCCCCTATAGTCGCTTGTTGTTCGTAACCGTTACACCTTTGTTCAGTTACTTATAATGAGGGCATCCATGACATCTTCTGTCACCAGGGTGGCGGCCCTTGGAATGAGGTGAAATATTTGACAGATTTCATGGCGGGGGAAGTTAATTTCTAAGAAAAGTGTACTACCCGTGCGGTCAAAGAATGGGATTAATAAATGGCGTTGCCTCTATTCACCTCTCGCTCACTGTCGCTATCTATACTCACACCCGCCGGTAGACTGCAAAAAATACTGATATTACTTTAGTCCAACTTATCATTGACGTAAATTAAAGATTACGCAAATTTATGAGCTAGTCGTGTTCTGAGAGTTTTCTACATAAATGGTTTTGAATTTGTTTGTAAATATTTCTGTATAGTATATTTACATGCCAATGAGACATGAGTAACCATTTTTTAAATTTTCGTTTGTCTGTCTGTCTGGGCTAATCTTCGGAATGGATTAACCGATTGTAATAAAACTTCACTAACAAATAGGATGTAATGGGGTTGTTATAAACTAATTTAACTCTGCAGAGGCACTTCACTTCCTTGCTCATCAAACACTAACTTTATGATCTCAGATATATCATTTTCAAAAAACACTATAGAACAATGTCTAAAAAACTTAGATATAACTAAAAGTTCAGGACCAGACGGTATTTCACCTTTTTTCCTCAAACATACTGCTAGCTCAATAAGCGTACCTCTGTTCTATTTGTATAACCGCAGTTTGCGTGAAGGTTTAGTGCCCACAGTCTGGAAATCTGCGAATATAAACCCAGTGTTTAGAAACGGTTCTAAAACTGATGTGACTAATTATAGACCTATTTCCTTACTTTCTGCCTTATCAAAAGTCCTTGAACGCTTAGTACATAACTCAATTTATCCGAGTTTACACAACTTACTAATTCCAGAACAACATGGTTTCGTAAAACACCGATCGACCATCAGTAATCTTATTTTATATACAAACTTTCTGTTTGATAATACGGACAATCGAATACAAACTGATACTGTTTACACAGACTTTTGTAAAGCCTTTGATAAGGTGGATCATTCCATCCTTCTTCAAAAACTTGCGTTTAATGGTATACGTGGAAACTTATTGCGGTTGTTCTCTTCGTACATTATTAATAGGACCCAAAAAGTTGTGGTTAACGGATTCTCCTCTAGCGAAAAATTAGTATCCTCAGGTGTACCACAGGGATCTATACTAGGTCCGATGCTCTTCACATAGTATATAAATGATATTCAGTATTTTTTTATAAATACGTGTTTAATAATTTACTTGACGGCTCCGTGGCGCAGTGGCTTAGCAATGAGTTGCTGCGCTGGGGGGCGCGGGTTCGAATCCCGCACGGAACAAGTATTTGTATGGCCTACAAATGATTGTTCCGGGTCTGGATGTTTGTCCTTGTGAAATTTGTGTTTGTAAACTGCCTCCACGAAACAGGAGAAAATCCTAGTGTGGGGGTAACGTTTTTTAAAAAAAAAAGAAATAGTAATTTTTTATTATATGCAGATGACCTGAAAGTTTATCGAAGTGTAAAGTCCCTTAATGAATGTGAGAAGCTACAGGAAGATCTTGAACGGTTATGTAACTACTGTCTAATCAATAAATTGCAATTAAGCATCCCTAAATGTAAATCTATTTCTTTCACCAAAAACGTAAAAACTTACAATTACATATATTCCCTTCTTAACAGTCCCTTAGAAAAAGTATCATTAATAAAAGATTTAGGCATCCTTTATGATTCAAATTTAACCTTTAATGCTCATATCAGCCATGTAACAAATAAAGCGTATCAAATGTACGGAATTGTTGCACGAACGTGTAATTTTTTTTAAAAGCTCCTCATCTTATTTACTACTTTTCAAATCACTTATGAGACCATAAATTGAATATGCAACGCAAGTATGGAATCCCTATTATAATAAATACGGTGAACTTCTAGAATCATTACAAGCAAAGTTTCTTCGTTTTATAAATTATAAATGTTACCACGCTAAATCATCGTATCGCAACTTATTAAAAAAGTTTTCAATTCATACTTTAAAAGCAAGAAGAATATACTTTGATGTAATACTATTATTCAAAATAATTCGAAATGATTCAGATTGTATATACATAAATTGTTTGCACCTAAACTATGTAAAACCAATGCAGGTGAACGTGCCCCATTAAGACGTATTATGAAAGTATATAACATGCATTTTTCAAATATTGATCTATTCACCTCATCACAGTTACAATTTCGCAAGAACGTTCTAAGAAAGTTGGTAGACATTCAATAGTATCTTAAAATATTTTAAAAGATAAATTTGTACTGTTAGCTATTTTTTTTTCCCTTTTGTCTCATTTTGATTTTTATGTTACTGAATGCTGTCAATTTTATTTTATTTTCCCTTTTTTACTTACACTCTGTTTATTGTGCATTTATTATTTACTGTTACCAATTTAATATTACTTTGTGGATAACGGTGCTGGTTACATAATGACTAATATTATTTATAAAATGTTATTTGGTTAAAGCATTATTATATAATTGTTTGTTGTCCTGAATAAATTAAAAAAAAAAGAGGCTGGCCGCTAAGCTAAGCGGCCAGCTTCCGCAGTCTACTTCACCTGAGGATGCCTCGTGTAGAGGCGGAACACGTGTCGTATTTTCGAGAGAGGTGTGACGTGCCTAGTGTGGTAGTGATGGGATTGACGGCGACGGGTATAGTGCGCGCGATTGAGGAAGGGTGGGAGTTGGATGAACCCCTTAAAACTGGGCAGGACACATCATTTTCTTTCTTGACGCGAAATTAAGCAAATTAGTTTATGACAACCCCATTATAATGGTTTTCCGCAAAGTAACGCCTGATTCTATTAATTATCTTAAAATAGGATATAATACCAGAAGTGATCTAGACTAAATTTTATCCCAAAACTTTGGAGATTTTATTAAAATAGAAATATTGATAAGATTAATTAAATGATCTTTGATGGTTATTATAAGTCTAAATAACGCCACATTAAATGATCCTACCCAGGTGAAGCCAGGGCGGGTCGCTAGTTATTAGCTAGTTATTTTAAAATAAATATACATACTTGCGTATACAATTATTTTTAAATATTTACGCATTAATAGAAAATTTTCAATTATCCGAATAATATAACGTTATAACGATCTAACGTTAAAAGCGGATTTTCGTTATTGTTACTGTGCATGTAGACTGTACCTACGGGCTCGATGAACCGCCATTTCTAATCCCATTCTTTATCTGTACGGTCTACAGAGATATTATATCAGAAATGAATAAATCAAACTGAAGTAGAAATATAAAAAAAATATATATAAAAATGTTTTAAAAATTATAGAACACAGCACTGAGGCATTGTTTTGTTTACATACTTACACTAGAAACCCAAACATTTCTAATTAAATCGCAATTTTCCCATGATTTAACACTAAGAACATTTGCGTAAAAAATAAGTTTACCTTCGCCCCAACTAGCAATATTTGAAGAGCGTAAGATTATTAAATATACAGGACTTATCTAAGTTTAAAATTTTATTATATTTATTTTATTAATACACTAGCTGACCCGGCGAACTTCATATCGCCTAACAGTTGATTCTTTAATATTTTTTTTAATACTTATTCTGCTATTCGGGACACCGGTTCAGCTAGTAAGATAAAGAAATAAAAAACAAAGTTGATAAGTCAACAGTTACATTATGTCAAAAAATAAAAGTTATAAAACACTTAAAATTCTTTTAATAGTCATTAAAAATCACAATGAAAATTACAATTTCTGATTTCTTATTATGATACCTACTTATTATATTTCATTTTATTTTTACTTATTCTAAATTAAGTTTCCATCGTATAAATATTGACATATATCTATACGATACGATATGATACGATACGATATAATATTTATGCGATACTAAGGTCACTCAATTTTTTTGCTATTAAAAAAGTTGTAATTTAATGTTACTAGATTTTTATATCTAACTAGCTGTTCCCCGCGACATCGCCCGCGTGGAGTTATTTTTCGCGGAACCCTAAAATAAAAGCAGCCCAAGTTACTCCTTATAGCAGCAGCATATTGACAAATATTGACATTAATATTTATACGACACTAGCGTCACTCAATTGTTTTGCCTTCCCGGAACCCCTCCACTAACACTTCGACTTTAAGGTATGGTACTAAAGTTCAAATTGACTTTTAAGTATTATTACGAATCTTTTGTATGGGAATATAGAAAAGTGTTGTTTTCATACCTTTTCAGGCAATTTTTTAAAGTTTTCTCTCCGTAAAAACCATCTTCCTACTTCAAGGAATATTATAAAAAAAGAATTAGCGAAATCGTTTTTTTTATTTTTTTTTTATTTTTTTTTTTATAAGATAAGGGTGACAAACGAGCACACAGTCCACATGATGGTAAGTGGCTGCTGCGGCCCATAGACATCTACATCTATCCTCTGTTACAAATCAAAATGTAGATGCGTTGTCACCCGTGAGGACTAAGATGGAATGCCTCATTTCCAGTAAAAAGGGCCTCCGGCCACCTGCACTCACCAAGCGAAACGCAGAGATAAACCTCTACTTCACGCTGGTTTTCTGTGAGGTCGTGGTACTACCCCGGTTCGAGCCGGCCCATCCGTGCGACAGCAAAAGCTGCCGCGTGGCTCTACCACGTAAGAAAGCTGCTCTCGAGATTTGAGCTTAGCAACACGTTCAGCGATTCATTTTTATATTATAGGTGATTGATAACAACCCCTGGAGATTGCTACTTTATTGTTTTTAGACGTTTTCACACTTAATTATATTAAACATTATATTGTAAATTTGTGTTTTAAAAAACAGTCTCGCTGGGTGTGTTCCTGGTTCTGACCAGGACAGCGTGTTTTTTCCAAATCAGTGGTAAAGCTAGATGACTTTCAATAAGTATAACCTACCTGCAATTCCCATGGTGCTGTAGTTGTTCACGGGCAGACTTACTATTAGGAGAGGTTTGCCCTCTTCTTATAAAAAAAAGTATTGGTGTAGTCTAACTATACAAATAAATAAAATTGAAGTGTCTGTTTGTAATGTTAAAATAACAGCTTTTACAGCATACCAAAATAAATGCATATAAAAGTGTATACGGTACTAATAACAAAAAAACTATTTTTAATTCTCTTGTCTATTCTGACTAATCTATGAAAAGGCTGGATCAATTCCGACGGGACTTTCACTGGAAGATAGCTGATGTTAGAAGGAATAACTCAGGGTACTTATATTTTAGAAAAAGAATTAGGGTTCTGCTCAAAAAATTAAAACCTATGAAAGGCAAAAGTAATTCCACACGGACGATGTCGCGGGAAACAGCTGGTATTGAATCAAAATGTTTGTATTGTGTTTAGTAGTATAGTTTGTGCGCATCGAGTGTATCTAAGGTGTGGGCGCGTGTACTGGGTATTATTTTATTACTATATTACACGTGGTAGAGCGAGTAGCTACAGCTCTATTATAATTGCAACATTACCTTTATTCTATAAGGTATCTGTTACGTCACCACGCCTTCGTTCAATTGTATATAATTACGGCAGGGTGGGTGCGCATCGAGCGTATCGACGGCGTGCGTGTGTCGACGTGTGCGTATTGGGCGCTGGCACGCTCCACACTGGGGGTGGCACGCGCGCCCGCCGACCGCCCGCCCCGTCGCCCCCGTGCACTCGCACCCGCACCCCCGCTCGCGCCCGCGATCTACGACCTGTGAGTACATGCGCACGCACACACACACACACACACACACACACACACACACACACACACATTATTATAGCATTAGAAAAAATGAAGCTTGCAGAAGAAGGAGTGCAAAACAATTTAAATTCAAAGTTAATTTCAAATAAATTAAATGAAAAATTGTTTTAACATAACTTTGAAAAATGTATTATTGTTATACATTTTTCAAAGAGAAGAACATGTGATTACTCCTCAATTACCCTAAGTTAATAAAAGTTTAATTTTTCTTAATTATGTTTAAATTAGTATTATGGTATGTAAGAATAACTTAAATTTAAAAATTTAAAAACCCCCGAAAAGAACCCTGCCGCAGCTAACAAAACGGCTGATGACTTTGAAAGGACTAAACCGATTGTTTAAGAACCACCGCTAGAAAACCAGGTTTTAAATAAAAAACCGCACCCAAATCTGTTCACCCATTTAAGAACAACGGTGCCACAGACAGTCATACACACACCTGGCGGCAAAACTTACACCCCTCTTTTTGCATCAAGGATTAAAAAAGTATTAAATACCTAAAATAATGAAATAACAGTTATTTTAATATGTTACAAGTTTTCAACAAAACAAATCGGATAACACCACTTTACATTTAGTCACTCTCATGTAATCACATGATAATTGAACGATTAATAAATATAATAGTCATATTTCTAATCAATACTTTATTTAAAGTAGTTATTTTCAACTATTATTTCACGATAATCACCAAATGATGATAAAGAAGAAGTTTTATAACACGTATAATAAATCTTTCTACCACATCATCAACTATACCATAAACTAGGCAAAACATATCATCTTCTATAATAATTCCATAGGCAAAGCAAAATTTCCATATTTGTGGCGTAATCTTTTCAAGAGTGCATGTTCGCGATGTTGATGTAGATATCGGAGCGACGTTTAGTCTGTACAAACGTATCACTCTGTATTTACCAAGGATGATTTCAATACAGCAAATATTATTTTACAATGTAATATTTAGCTAAACATCTATTTTTCATTTTACTTCATAGTATTTTAGCTATTCGGTAAATATGTGTATTTCATCTGATGTCAGTCTGAACGAGATTAGAATGGCTCTCCTACACCTCCCTTCTGAGCAGTGTCTACGTGCTGTTTTCGAGAATCATTACGAATCGTTTCGTACGCAGACTCGACGACTTTCAGCCTCCGAACTAGCCGGTTTCCGAAAAGGCTTTAGTACAATAGTACTACTGTTATTATTACTTCTAGGTACTACTACAGCCCATCACAAGTCCACTGCTGAACATAGGCCTCCCCCATAGATCGCCGCAAAATATCCTGAGACACCTGCATCCATCCATTTATACGTGGTAGAGTTACGCTGCAACTATATTAGTAGTATAGTTGTAGCACGTATGGGTCGGCTCGACCGGGGAAGGAACACGCTCTCACAGAATACCAGCGTCAAATAGCAGATTAACGCTGCTGTGTTTCGTATGATGAGTGTAGAGAACCGGAGACCCTTTTTACTGGAAAAGAGTCATTCCATCTTAGTCCTCACGGGTAACACAACGAATCTGCATTTTGATTCGCAAACGAGGATAGATGTAGATGTTTATGAGCCACAGCAACCACTTACCACGTTTGTCACCGTCTTATATAAAAAAAAAAACACTAAATGCTAAAATTATACTAAAACTAAACAAAAATATGTTTATTTCATTCTAGATGGTTTGACGAGGAGGGCAAACCACACCACACGGCTTTGGCGATAGAGATTGATGTCGAGTAAGTACATGCACTTTTAACTTGATGCGTTTTATTCAAAATTGGACTGTAATAAGACTTAACAAGGCTTTTTAATGGAAACACAACCATTCTTAAGAAGTTTTCACTTTTAAAAATTACTAACCTGTTTGGTTTCCAGGGGTTCTACACCAGAAAACGACCGTATGTTAGCATTCCTCATTTACCTGAAGCCTCACGTGACCTTCGTGGAGGATAGTCCCTCTAGCCTTGATGAATGAAGGGGTCCGCATCATGGGAGGATCTCGCCGGTGCCCGGCACAGGGTCGAATACAGCGTTAGTATATCCGGGGACTGTACCGTGTCCCGTCTACTAGACAAGTCTGATTTGATGCCCCGGTAGCTTGGTATCAGCTGATTTCTCAACATGGCTTTCGATTGTTTGTGATACGTAATATAACTTCCACGGGCCGTTTCTGTACGGTCAGACAATAAGGTCGCAGGTGCGTTCCGAAAATATCTAACTAATGTTTCGGTAACCGGATGAATTATTTTATTTCATTTATCCAATTTATATGTTAATATGGTTCAAAAGTAAGTGTAGGCGGTTGTCCTCGTTTAAAACTAGGACTGTAAAAGTTCTAACTATAATTAATATAACTAGAACTTCTGTTTAACTTGTCAAAAGTACGAAGTAGTGTGTGTGTGATGGCCATTGAGCCTCCCGAAATCCTAGAATATTAATGTAATTTACTAAAACTGTAAGTATAATTAATTTTAATTAGAAAACAAAACAAAAATAACCGGATAAAATTATTCGTCCGGTTAGCCGGATAGTTTGATTCAATCTTGAATTCCTTTACAAAAATATTGAAATAGTTTATAGTTTATTTATGTATCGGTGTATATATATACACTCTTATATGAAATTCTGTGCACACTCTACTGCACAAAGTTTTGTATAAAAATTGTTTTTGCTTTATTTCTTCTAAATACAGTCTACGTAATAACGATCCGCCTTAATCTAGGAAGTCAGCTGGTATCCTACATCTGTTAAGAATCATATCACCACGTGGGACCTGTTCATTTCGAACATTCTTACCAAAAACCAGATCAGCTAAAACACGTTTTCAGGGAAATGAAATTACAGGCTTAGTAAGGTTATCAATATCTATACAAATAATAAGTGTCTGTTTATAATGTCAAAATAACAGCTCTTTCCTGAATGCATATGAAAGTTTATTCGGTAATTATAGCAAAAAAGCAATTTAAAAAAATTTTGTCTGTTTGTTTATTCCGGCTCAGATACGGCTGGACCGATTTTGACGGGACTTGAATTGGCGGATAGCTGATGTTATTTATAAGGAGAAACTTAAACTACTTTTATTTTAGAAGAAAATAGAAATCAAACTTTCTTCACATGAAATTTTGAAGAAAATTTGATTAAAATAGGGCGGTGTGGAAATAAATTACTAAAAACTGTGCGTGCGAAGTCGCGGGCACAGCTAGTCGTTCAATATATTCAATCAGATATATATTTATATAGTTTAATAACATTCAGATATTTATATTTAAAGTAGTTTTATCGTACAGATATATAAATCGAAAACTTATTTATCAAAATACTTATCTTTAACATATACGCGTCTATATTGTATAGATTGTATACCGTCTTACTCAAGAGTCAAGAAACTTCTCTTGAATAAATTCCAATTAAATGTCCAGTGCTACTTAATTTTACGTAATTTTTACGTTTTAGGACCATTCGCGGACCTTTTACCTTTGTCGTTATAAAGTAAACGCAAAAACTAAAAATTTTGATTTACTTTACAATATTTTTTTCTTATTCTTCTATTTACTCTGATTCCATTCTCACTGACGCAAGGCCTTTTTTATTTTGGAAGTCAAAAAGTTCTTGAGCTAATTGTAAATACTCCATTTTAATTGTGAAAGAAATATTTCAAATAAATGTTATTACGTTTTAAACTCCACGTATAGGACCTACGATATTTCAATTTAATTTTTTTAAAGCTCGCAACACTGACTTTCTCCAATTCTTAGGAAAATAGATGTATTCGTCTAATTTTGTATCAGTATATGTATAGTATAAAACAAATATAACATAGCATAATATACGTAAATATAAACGCAAGCCTGTTACCCAGAGGGAGTAGGCAGATACTATGGACTTCCATTCGGCTCAGTCCAGACAGCTCTGACTGGCCAGTCAAGAATATTAACTTGGCACATCTTCAATAGATAGCCAATTTGGTCGATAAACTTCTGTCTTATCCTTGTCGATTCTGCCACTCACTCCTGCACCATAAATTTGCGTTGTCTCTCTTATAATACCAATATATTAATCCACATGGGCTAAGTATTGCCCTTTATTACATTTATTACAGCTTCATATTTATGTATTTGAAAATCAGTAGCCGTAATTTAACACTATGAACAGTTTAAAGTTCTTTCATACATGTTATTCCAATTCAATAGTTAAATTAGTTATATGATATTTAATCGACACGTAGTATTTACGATCATATAGTATATCAAATATAATGTTAAAGGTTTAAAAATAGTTCCCAATATAAGGCACATTTTCTAATAAACAGTTCGGTCGTTAGGGCCTCAGTTTGTCAATATTACACTTTCTAGACATTTCTTCCCAGGCGTCCTGTAGTGTCATTACCTGAGAATGTGTTCCCTTTACATCACGGCACTATCAATTGTCTCTTACACTGTACTTGAAATATGGGGTTTTAAAAATGATTAAAAAATTATAAAAGGACGTAAGTTATATTACATAAATAATTGTTCCGTACCGTACGTATACGTACCCTATGGTTTATATCAAATCGTACGTATCAATGTCAGTACTTTCGCATTAATGATGCACACAAATTTATTGTAAAACGGATTAGTTAAGCATCAAATAGCACTATACACTTTAGCACGAGTTTTTTTTTGGTAACATAAAAACAGCGTTACTCAATCTTTTTGGACGATTCTAACCATTACTTGAATGTAGTTTTAAGGAACCTATTTTATGGTTTGTCTACAAAGATTCTCATGCTAAAATGAAAAAGGATAGTCGTGTTATAACAAGAAATGGTATTAATGATGTTTAAAGTTAATGGTCTTCCTGACCCGACGCTCCGTTATTTTCACACTGTCAAGCAGTATGGGTGGATCTGAAGTTCTTTGAGCGGGCTTAGAATGATAGTTTAGTTATGTGTATGTATATTGAGTAATCACCACACCCAGACCCGTCAGAACTGTTTGCTTAGTGAAGCCGTAGCGATTGAGGGTACTTCAGTGTCAAAATAATCGAAATAACGAATTCAAAGTCTATCACTATGTTAGAAAACTTCATTAAGCCTGTAAATCACTATCCACACCGTGCTAATTGATCCTTTATTCCGTTTTCTATTTCTGTAAGGTCACAACAGTTTAAAAATTATCAAGGGTCACTATGTTATGACTGTGTCGAGCTTCTTCTTGTGTAATGGACTTACTGCACTACGTTTTATCTATTGCGTATCGTGTGATTTTTGACTGTTGTATTTATAGCTTAATTTTTCACGCACACATATACCGGTTGTCTATTGTACCGCGAGGAAAAAACTAAGATGTTTTTGGTGAAAGGGATAGAAGCTTATGGCATAGATGTTTTTCGAATTTATTTATATTTCATTGGGTCTGGATGTTTGTGCTTGTAAAATTCATGATTGTAAACTGCCCTCACGATACCGGAGAAAATCCTAGCGTGGAGGTAACGTTTTTTATAAAATTAAAAAAAATATATTTAGCACTGATATTTAGCACTGATATTTTATGTAATTGCACAATCCATGAACACTTCTAGCGGTTGGTTCAAGCTCAAGGGCGCCAACAATTCACTGATTATGGTCACGCGTAAAGTGTTTATAAATGTTTCCAATTTTTATTGTATACATACATACATAGGCTTCTGCTCCGTTCATCTATTATACCGTATATTTTTCGGGAATAATGTCACACTGTACAATTGTACACTCATTTCGCTTTGCGTGCTTTTTTGTTAAATCCCACTGAAGTAGGTTAAGGTGTACGACGAGAGAATTCTCCACCGTTTCAATACAATTAAGACTGATTTAGATCATGTGTTCTGATTTGAGATTCGCTTAATCCTAAAACAAGCATATACAGTGTGTTTCTTCAGACTAGGATAGTATATCATTGTCAAAACTCGGCAAGAAGAAGGGAATAGTGTCAGTAGTTTTATGGAAACAATTATAATTAATGTCAATGGACTTTGTGCTAGCACAATTTACTTGTATCGAATAAAAAAGCACAGGTAAAACAAGCTCTCAATTACAGTCTTATTTATTAATCATAGTGATTTTAATACTAGTCTAGGTAGTCATACAACACTTTGTTACAATTGGGTAGTTGACGTCACTATTATTAAAAAAGTTTATTATATCATTTGAATTTGCTACTTTTAGTGTTGTCTAAAAACTTGTTAGATTCTGCATTTTAAGTTAAATTAGATTTTTAGTATTTAAAAATATATAGATGCTATGACTATTAGACTATAAAACTATGACGTCATTATACAACAAGTATATATTCTCATACAATTTCTATAGAAAAATTTGTTTTGGCAACTCATAAAAAGGAAGTGTCCAATTCCCAATTTTTCTGAATTTAAAGCGAAATTTAAATATGGAACACTTTTCTACACTTGAAACACCTTAAACGGTTTCGCTATAACTTCTAATTTTCGAACTCCTCCATATTGTCCAAATTAAAAGAAACACACTGTATATTATATAAAGTAATTATTATAATTTACAATGTAGAACTTATGACATTCTATTACCCAGGAATGCGATTTTGTCACTTTACTGGGAATTGTGGTTGAATCCGTTTTAAAGGTTGACGTTAGGTTTACAATATATATGTTTGATAGGTTGTTTTATATATAATAGGTTTGCAATATATCAAAGAAATTTAACGCATATGTGGAATGATCCCCACCGGAAAACGGTTCTAATAAGAGTGACATAATCTAACTGCGCATCCAACACTAGTGTTGGCAGCTTTGCTATAATATATGCTGCAGCTATATATGATGATGGTAAATGCAGTTTTCTCCGAATAGTTTTCAATTTTAACATAATCCTTGTGATTTTTATATTTAAGAAAAATATAGTTTCACTTTTCTTAAGGAATTGCGCCTATCGGAGCGCCATTTTGTCTTGCGTTATCTGTATCTCAGTTGAGTGACTTCTTT